GGGGGGGGGGGGGGCTAAACCCCACCCACAGTTCAAAAGCACCATCTTTCAATTTCATTCTATTTCATCCCCATGATAGAAGTTTGTATTCACCATCAGGAGCAAGTTAGGACAATGACACACAAATGCCATCTAAGCTTACTGGCCATCTTAAAGAGTTGATGTTTAAGTAAAATATTACATCTTCTGACAACAATTTACTTTCACCGGGCTCTAAAGGAACGTAAAGAACTAGCATATATACTGTAACACTTCCAATTTCTGACATGTAGAGTTCAGCAAATGATCGAGATAAGTAAATGAAGCTCAAAGCCAAGTTGTTCAGCGGAGAACTTACTTGCGGCAAATCATCTTATCTTGGTTGTATTTCCTGGCCAAGGCCATAAGAGACGGTTCAATGATCCCTCCACGGAGCCTCAGCACAAGATGCAGAGTCGACTCTGTTTTACACAAAAACAAAATTAACTAAAAATCGAGCTAACAAAAAAATTGTTTATATTGCAAACTTTTCATCCAACACAAACCTTTTTGGATATTATAATCAGCCAGTGTACGCCCATCTTCAAGCTGTTTACCAGCAAAGATCAGTCGCTGCTGGTCCGGCGGAATACCTAGAAACAAGCCCATCAATTCATATAAGAGATGCACATTACTGCTAAATTGATTTAATTTCATTTAGATACCATTTCATTTCCAGAGCTCAAATACGAGAAGCAATTAAACTTAAAAAATAGAAATTTTAACAGGTGAATTACCTTCCTTGTCCTGAATCTTGGCCTTGACATTGTCGATAGTATCACTCGATTCGACTTCAAGGGTGATGGTCTTCCCCGTTAGGGTTTTCACGAAGATCTGCATCTTATCTCTCCGATACGAGAATTGCAGGCTTATTTTTCCTTCAGGAAGCTTATATTGGTGATTTTTAGGGTTTAGGAGTTTTCTCCTTGAGGGAAACGACGTCGTAAACGTGTGTTAAATCTAAGTGTAAATTCCATTTACTGCCCGTATAGATCTGGAAATTATATTCACCTCCCTTGTACATTTGAATGTGACAAATTAGGCTGTAGAACTTCAGATATTATTACACTTGCTTCTCTGGTAGTTTGGACATTGCAATTCTCTATATTATACTCCGTATTTTACCAACTTTTAAGTAGTCCTTGGCTTAAATATACGTATTATAATTTTATTATTTATTAATTTTAGTGTACGTGCGTTGCACTTGTGTGTCGCGTCATTAGAAGAACAAATTATTGAAAAAAAGTAATTTATATCAAAATAAATTAAATATTTTCTTAAGGGAATAATTTGTAAAAGATGATTAGAATTTAATTGATTTTAAATTTTATATATTAAGACTTTTGACATGGTTCAAATAATACATATTCGGTAAATAAACTGATTTGAAAGTCCTAAATAAGTAAATATTAGGAAATTTAACACATGAATTATTTATAGTTGTGAAATTTTTTAATAAAATATAACTTAAACAACCAAGAAAATATTTCCGTATGAAAAGGAAAATAAAAGATCAAAATTGATCTTGGCGATAAAAGTTTCCTTGTACGATATAGGCATACAAATTTTACACAAAAATATTACAATAATTTTGTCCTTGGTTGAAAATAAACTTACCCTTTACTTTTTTATATTCTCTTCATTTTTCTTAGCATATTTTATCCTTATTTAGTTAAATTTGAACTCCTAAATATTAGATAATAATTAAAATTTTATTTGATTTAAAAGTCTTAAATATTAAGAAATTAATTTAAATTACATATTTGTCCAATGTGAAACTTATTATTAAAGGATAAAAAAGATGAACGAGATTTCGCTAAGTATACGCGTGTACCCCATCTCGATGAGTATAAAATTTTAAAAATTATATACATATTACTTACTAAATAATGTATATTAACGTACAACTATCGAGTATCATTTCGAAAGTATTATAAGCTATAGTTAGACTTAAATAGTAATGTTATCAATTTATTTTGTATATTATTAAAGGGTAAAAATTACAAAGAAAAAGAAAGCATGACGACTCAAAAAATATATATTATCCACTAAAAATTCATGTTCTCTTTGATTTAAGACTAACTTTGAACGACTTTCCAAAGATCATAATTTATTACCAATGAAACATATGGAGATTATTAGTTTCTTACACTATAATTTGCAGCTATTAAATTTTATCAAAAACCTAATCAACGAATTCAAATTTTGTAATCTTAGATTTCGTTATTTTTTTTTACTTTCATATTTCGTTCTAGCTTATGGTTCCCCCGCAACTACAAATTTAACTTGACTTGAAGATGCAACTACCTAAGAATGATGATTTTCAACCACCACTCTCAAACCTTTATATGGATGTGTTGTGTATATAACACAATAATTTCTTCATATTTGCCTAAATTTCGATGAGCGGAGTTATTCAATTACGTATTTCGATAAAATAGTCGAGATGCACACAAGTTGACCCGACATCACTATCATAAAATAAATTATACAACAAAATACAGCAGGTCAATGATTTTTCAACACAATAGATCATAGAATGACATGAAGAAAATCATCAGTATTAAAAAAACAAATACGATACTGATAGTACTTGTACAAACAAGTGGATAACCTTAGACTTACAAGAAAAATCTTAGACCGGTTGAACTCAGATTTTCGTGTGAAAATAAAAATAGTGTCTCCAATATTTTCTCCAAAACAAAACAATAAGAAAGAACTCGCTCAAATGATTCATATTCTGGAAATATACAAATACTAATTACAAACTCGGTCCATCTTTAAAATTCATGTAATAGATCTCGGGAGAGAATTGACGTTACGAAGAAAAACTACTCTAAGAAAAAGACTCTTTCAATGTTTCGTGCAGAAAGGTCACCCAAGAAAACCTTCATATGGTAAGAGACAGTCAAGGTTTTCTTATCTATGTCGAATTGGTTCGGTGTTAGAACTTTCATAAGAATAAAACTTCATATCGCAAAAACTTTCACAATTTCACGGTCCAAAATTTAGGCAAATTACTCAATTTCTACATTGACGACAAAAAATAGGCAAGGATTTATATAAGAAAAAACTGTACACTAATTTAAAGTCCTAAATATAGGGACTTCCTACTTAGTTCAAACAAGGAAAAATACTATAACTAAAATTTTGATTGATTTTAAATTCTTAAATATATATTAGGAAAATAATCAAATTACAATTTTATTCAGTATTAACTCTATTTTTAAAGGGTAAAAATAGCAAACGACATTTCGCTAAAAGTATTCATATTTTTAATATAATATAGATAAGCCCAGTAAAAGTCACAAGTTATTGTTAGTCTAGATGTTGAGGATGGTTCTGTTTTGGTTTTAGCATGCTTGGGACTTTATGCCCAAGATTTCTTTTATTTTTTTTTAGAGGTATACATAACGTTTATTTGGTAATAAAATTTATTTAATTACCCAAAAACACTTGTATTTCTTTTTCTTTAATATTTATTGCAATTTTTGAAGAATCAAATAAGAACTCTTACGTATAACTTTTGAAGAACCTTCATGCCGAAGTGCGACCAAAACACAAACGGCGAGAATTTACTTGTTTAATGTAGTAATTACATCAAAGTATATTACCAATTTATTGTGATCAAATTAAATATTAAAACAAATTATATATTAATTAATTAATTATGATCTATAATAAAAATTAAGTACATATCAAAACATCTTTACCAACACCAACTACGTTAAACGACAGTAGCACACGTGTCAGTCAGTGATCCCTACCCTTTCATCGAATGCCACGCCCCAGGTACTCACTCACCTACCCTAAAAGCTCCAGCACGCTACGCTCTTTCTTTCCCAGTCGCCGGTGGACCAGTCTTTCTCACTCTCCATTCCTATATAAAATGACAGAGTGCACAGTGCGCTTAGCCTCTTCTTCTCGCTCTGTCTCTGCTAACTTGCGCATCTCACCTATCCGATTCTCTCCTCTTTGCCGATCTCTGCCGTTGACCTCTGCATCTATTATTGGCAAGTCACTTTTTTGCTCGCTCTCACATAGGAGAATCTCAGTATTGAGTACAAATTCGACGAAATCTCAGTTTAGAACTAAATCATCAATGGCTGAGACTGTGACAGGGAAAAGTAAAGGGAAAGTTGAAGTGTTTGATTCTGAAGAGGAACTTGCCGTGTCTCTAGCGAAGTACACAGCTGATTTATCGGAGAAGTTTTGCAAAGAGAGAGGTTCTTTTTCTGTTGTTGTTTCCGGTGGTTCACTTGTCAAGTCTCTTAGGTAATTGTTTATTCTCTTCGTTCTTAGTCTTTTTGGGATGGTTTGGTGTTTAAGTTAATTGGATCCTTGTGTTTGTTGCAATTGTGCAGGAAATTGGTGGAGCCACCATATATTGATTCAATAGACTGGTCGAAGTGGCACGTTTTATGGGTGGATGAGAGAGTGGTCCCAAAGGATCATCCTGATAGCAATTATTTGCTTGCTTATGATGCTTTTCTATCCAAGGTATTTGTGTCTTTATTATACTATGTATTGATTCTAATGGTGCCACACGATGTGATATCTCCTCTATATATGAACATACATAGTGGTAGTTTGTTTATACAGGTGCTCCCCCACGTTTGAAGGAAGATCTGTATTAATTGTTTGAGTTTCTAAAAAAGAGTGTAATGGTAACCTCAACAGAATGAACTGCCATTTATGGTGCTTTTATTTTTCATTTAAAAAAAAAATCAAGCTGCCTTTATGGTTCTATCTGAGTATTGATGGAATAAACTTGTAGTTATTAAGCTTTCCATTCATCAACTTCGGATGAAAGATTTGGAAAATCAGATGAAAAACTAATTATGTCAGGAGTTGAGGCCAGTGGTAACTGGGAATGCAAGTTGTGCCCATACTGTAATCAAATAATGTACCACAATGCCATGGCTTAAGACAGTAAATAAGATAGTCCTGCTAATGCATCAGTGAGGACTAAAATGATTTGGCACCCCCTGCCAAAATGAATGTTTCAAAGTTTCATAAAATTAAACAAGCCTTCTTCTATCATAGGGAACAAGAACAACAAGACTTAATAACAACCTGTAAGTTATGAATGGAAACGAAGAAAAGATATAACTAGGTGTTTATACGGAAATTGATTTCGGAGAAAATTAGGCTAGAGAGAATAGGTATATAATTGAGTAATAATTAGTAATTATTGGTATGTCATGGTGAAGCCAAAAGAAGACTCATTTTTGGTCTGTTTGGATGCATTAAATATGGGGGTATGATTAGCTATTTATAGGATGAGAATAAACCTCTAATCATGACAAGTGTGATGCACTTGTCCATAATTACTATGCGTGAAGCCATTTGACTAATCTATGTAACTATTTCTCCATAAACTCTCATGCATGAAGCCACTTGGCTAATCTACTTAGCTATTTGTCCATAAGCTTTCATGCATGAAGCCACTTCGCTAAAATATTATTGTAACATTGTTAACAATCCCCCACATATTTTCTTAAAAAAAAATCAAGAATAAAGAGTAAAACTTGCTTGATTTGTATTTAAAACAGTATACACTTGATTAAGTCACCTATATGAGATTTTGATCAAATCTTTAGAGTTCTCATGAATAATCAAGCACATGTGTGGCCTATTTGCGCAAAATCGTGTCAACAACAACAACAACGACCCAACAAAATACCATAAGTGGGGTCTGTGGAGGGTAGTGTATACGAAGACTTTACCTCTACTCCGAGGGGTAGAGAGGTTGTTTCCGATAGACACTCGGCTCAAGAAGACGAAAAGAGACAATATATCAGTACCATCAACAAAAATCATAGAAATAATAACATTACAATCGCGCAAAATCGCGCCGAACACCATAATTGTAGGGGT